AAAGCGGGGGCTCTGCTCCTCTTCGGCTCTGTGTAACTGACACACAGTGTCAGTTACACAGAGCCAAAGAGGAGCAAAGCGGGGGCTCTGCTCCTCTTCGGCTCTGTGTAACTGACACACAGTGTCAGTTACACAGAGCCAAAGAGGAGCAAAGCGGGGGCTCTGCTCCTCTTCGGCTCTGTTTAAGAGCCGGGCTGCCCGAGCGCTACCAGCTTCGGGCAGCCCTGTGCCTCCAGACCCTGTGCCCCCAGCCGGGCACTTCCCCTCCCAGGCTCCGGCGGCGCAGGGTCTGGAGGCACAGGGCTGCCCGAAGCTGGTAGCGCTCGGGCACGTCCCGGCTCTTAAACAGAGCCGAAGAGTCAGGGAGGAGCAGAGCCGCCATTTTCCCGGACACGTTCGGCTTTTTGGCAATTCCCCCCGGACGGGGGTTTGACTGCCGAAAAGCCGGACATGTCCGGGAAAAAGAGGACGTATGGTAACCCTAAATTTACCCACTCAGATAGTTTATTCAGGCTGTGGTCAGTGAGCAGGGCTTAGCCTTTTAGCAGTAAATGAAACTTACCTTTCCCAGCTAACAACCTCTCCAGAAAAATATTAAAATCTGGTATTGTCTCAAGCATGACTGAAAAGTTGGAAAAATGAAAATAGGACACCGCAACATCCTTCGGGTTTCTGGCTACATAAATAACCTGCAAGGTAAAAAGAGTGACAGTCTCAGTTATATTAAAGCAGAGGTGGGCAAGCTACGGCCCGGGAGCCACATCCGGCCCGCAGGACAGTACTGCCCGGCACTTGAGCTGCCGGCCGGGGAGGCTAGCCACCGTCCCGTCCCCTGCTGTCCCCACTTCCCCTGCAGCCATGCCGCCGCGTGGCAGCATGGCTGGCTCTGGCCAGTCGGCGCAACTTTCAGTCCTGCTGCTCTGAGCGGCATGGTAAGGGGGCGGTGAGGTTGGATAATGAGCAGTGGGCCCTGGGGGGCAGTCAGGGGACAGGGAACAGGGGGCAGTTGGATGGGGCAGAGGTTTTGGGGTGGGGTGGTCAGGCGGCATGGAACAGGGGGTGGGGGGTTGGATAGACGTGGGAGTCCCGGGGGGCCTGTCAGGGGACGGGGGAGGTGGTTGGATGGTGTGGAGGTTCTGGGGAGGGAATGGTCAGGGGACGGGGAACAGGAGGGTTTGGACAGGGGGTGGGGTTCCAGGGGGGCAGTTAGGTGCAGGGAGTCCTGGGAGGGGGCGGTCAGGGGACAAAGAGTGGGGGGGTTTGATGGGTCGGGAGTTTTGAGGGGGGCAGTCCGGGGGCGGGAAGTAGGAGGAGGCGGATGGGGGTGGGGGGCCAGGCTGTTTGGGGAGGCACAGCCTTCCTTACCCGGCCCTCCATATAGTTTTGCAACCCCGATGGGGCCCTCAGGCCAAAAAGTTTGCTCACCCTTTAATATAAGGGACACAATTAACCAAAAATATGTGTTCTCATTTGCTATTGCTGCAAGTAACACTAAAATCATTGTATCTGAAAAGAATAAGTACTTTAGTAAATTGTTTATCTTGATTTAAATGAATGGCATTTTTTGTGTGTCTTTGCCAGCATTTTCTGTACATTCCGTGGAATTATTGCGCTTCCTTAATTCTAAAGACCCTCATGCACATGCATAACTGTCTACATGTGATAGTACATTGACCTCAATGGGATGACTCACTGTTGTAAGGTTAAGAATATGAGTAAGTGTACTTAGAATCAGGTCTTCAAGTTATTTCCAGTTGTTTACATGGGTCTTTCACACAGCAAGAGAGGAGCAAAAACATTTAAAAATCATGGGAAATGTGATAATAAACAGCACAAAAATTAACAGGGAGTGCAGTTGCAGATGTACTATCTGAAAAGAATTTAAACTTTAATAAATTCATTTAATTTTGAGTTCTTTTTAAATACAAACACTGTTAAGTCAACAACAGATATTTATTTGTGTGTGTTGTGTTTAGTTTATTGGTAAAGTATTTCAGTAAAAAACATATCCTTAAACATGAATCCTAGTAAGCATGAATTTCTTGCTCTTTCAAAAAAAATTGCAGCTAGAGATATTTTTAGAGAATTGTAATGGATACAATGTTTAAAAAGTAATGCTAACATGCATTGCTGCACACCTCAACCAATTTCTCCAACCATTTGGAGCTGAGAATTTCTGGAAAACCACACAGACAGCTAAGCCATATGGTGGTGCACACTAAGAACAGCCAGCCAGAAGCCATGAAGAGAAAAACTCCCTACACCAGCAACATGTTCTTAAAATTGTGAAAATCTACATGAGCCCTGGAAAATATACATAAGCAATACAAGATTTTCCAGTGTCTGTAGTTAAAATTGTGCTATGTGCAGCTTAGGAGATGTTGTTGTTCCATTTACTTTTACTGTCCCTGTAACTTTAAGGAATTTTCTGCATGGGAAATGGGGCTGAGCTATAAAGCAAATCAAGAGGAAGGTTCCTATGGATTGAGAAGTTGCACTGATGGAGCTCATGTGGTGCAAGCTCTGCAACATGCATCTGCTCATTTTATCATCGGTTTTACTGCAACAGAGATAAGGAAGCTGCAAGGGTGACTGGGAAGGGAGTCTCCTGGGGAAGTGGGTGCACAGCACATGCCACCTTTCATGGGAGATCCGGGTAGCAATGTAAGAGATTGGCTTCGCTCCCACAAGGCAATTCTCACAGGCCAGCACTGCACACCTTCTGTGTGAATGATTCTCTGTTTAGATTAAGGAAAGCAACACAGCAGGGAGCAACACACCTCCATGAGAGAGAGCTCAGTGCGAATCCCTGACCCTGGGAGATCCTTCCTCTTGAGCTGCATCTGGCACAGTCCACACCCCTATCATTAGCAAGAAGTTTCCTGACGTTAAAAGATGCAGGAGACGCAAAACATGGATAACATAAGAGCTTATAGTTACATAGCTACATGCACCACAACAACAAAAACACTGTAATTTACAATATAACATGCAGACTGTAATGATCATAACCCATCACTAACGCCCCTTTTAGGGGGCGCTGTCATGATGAGGAAGAAGCAGCTCCGTTTCAGAGGCCAAGCACAGCAGTTCCATGAAAAATGGGATCTCCACTGAAACTGGACACTGAAGTCCCGAGGTCTTGATTGAACTTGTTTTCCACCCTTTGGCTGGGTCTAGGGACATGGAATGGGGCTTTGGAGGAAGTGAGCCCCATCCCCATGCAGGGGAGATTTGCTTTTGGAAGGGTTGTTGTGGGAGGACAGACAGTCTGGCCAGAAGATTTAGACTGATTTATTGGTGAAAGCTACCAGTTTTCCTGGGTAATGTTAATTAAATTGTAAAAATAGTATCACCTACTTTTTCTCTCCTGTTCCTCAGATCTCTTGGAACTAAATAGTAAGGCAGGTGAGTTGTAAAGAGACGAGATGATGGACGATGGACATAATCCATATTATGTACGTTATACTCCAGCCATGGGACTCTGGCTATTATTTTCATATTTTCTGTTCCATCCCGATGGCCTTCATGATAAATGAAGCTCAAAATATTCTGAATCCACACATTCCTGGGAAAGAAAATAGCCTTATTTGAAACAGTTTTAATGCTAATTGTATTTGTAATGTCCTGTAATAATCTGCCATCATCACAATCTCTTCAAAACTGTCTCATTTTACATTATAAATAAAGTACAAAAATTTGTGTTAAAGGGAGTACGTAATATAGCAGGAATGGGAATCCAAACAGCATTATACTTTTATACATTTTAGTATTAAAAAACCTGTATCTATCTATGTGCTGGTCGATCGATTTTTGGGGCTTTTTTAAAAATGGGCTCCTATTACCCCGACCCGATTTTTCACATTTGCTGTCTGGTCACCCTAATTACTACAGATTATTTTTCACCCTCTTATGTAGCCTCAGTGCTGTAGCATGACTGTCCATTACAGTAATAGCCAGTGGATTCACTGGCCCTATCCAAAGCACCCTGCATACTGTTGTTCTGAGAGTTTTTAAGTACCCCTATTCCACCCCCGCAGTGGAAGAACACCAGTGCTACTTCAGGCCTCATGGAGAAGGCTCACACTGGTCTGTCCTTTCTGTGCATGTTACATGACATCTCAGCGATACAAGGAGTTCTCTATTAAGAAGTGCCACGGGTTCTTTAGGACCAGAATTGGTCAGTGTCAAAAGCTGTGTTACAATGTTTAGTATACAATGAGGTAAAGAGTCCTTCTCTCTGAGCTTGTCACAGAGGAGTTGGTTCTGCTATATTATAACTTCAGCTGCAAGTAATTCTCAAACCTCATAGGCTGGAAGAGGTGCTATTCTTGTTTTAAGAAAATATATACTGTGAAGTCTGAGAACAAAAATGTTGATCACTTGAGTACATGTAATTAGTTCGGCTTGAATACTCTGAAGGACTGGGATCAATCTGGGGAGGGAATCAAGCAATCAGTCTTACCTGATTTTGGATAAGTAACAACAAATACATCACTGTCTCTGATTTCAAAATCCTCTAGTGAATCTATGTATTCAGGTGTAACATGGCCTGGGTGGAAATAAAAACCTTTATGTTTGAACAAAAATTCTTCTGATGGCTCCATTGTTAACTCAGTTTCATTCATATGTCAAGAATCTGCAGGTTAGAAAACATAATTTTATATCATTTTTATTTTGGTGTTATCTATCCTTCAGGACAAAAATTTCAGTACAATATAAACAAAACAGATCCCTTTTTGATAGGAAAATGTATATTAACAAAAACAGCAAACTGAATGACAGTACAGAAATAGCATTTTTAGGGACTGGCATGAGAACAGAATATCTTTTGCAGCTAAAAGTGCTGTGTAATACATTGTCTTTGAGTTATTTACTTGTACAAGTGTCTGGTATTGTTAGGCACCAATATTGCTTTAACGAATTATCTAACTTCACTGAATCCATGTAAATGGGCACTTAAAGTCAGCGCTACTCAAGGAGCACACCACAAAGTCCAGTGCTTTCTATGAGCTATGACTTAGTCCTTGTGCACAACCAGAGTAATGAGGCTGCATTCCAATTAATTTTGTGGCTGGAATTTTGTTCACACCATCTTATTATTTCTGATGCTCTCTCTCATATTTCCCTGTTTAATATGTTTCTCCCAGTCCCTCTTGTCTAGTAACATAAGTTCAGCAAAATAGGAGGGAGGGAGAGGAAGTTTATTTTCTCTCAAGAGTTTTCTTTGATTTTATTTTTGGCTGCTATATTTTATAAGGTTCTTCACCTGTAAATCAGTGGTATCATGCCACATATGTGCCAGTGGAGCACATTGGTTACATCCCTTCCAACAGAGAGTAGAGAAACAATGAAATGGGAATAAAATAACCTTCTAGAGGATTTCACCTCATATGTCTGGTACAGTAATTGAGTTGGAACAGGTTTTAGGAAATCTCCATGTAGTTTACCAGATTAAGTGAATTGACACCCAGGTCTCTCTCTTTAAGGCTTTCCAATAATAGATGTCTTTTTTTGTGGTATACAACTAACAAAGAAGAGTAGGTATGTGGGGAAAAAAGCCCTTGTTAGTGTCATTAGACAACATACAAGGCTCAATAAGAATAATTGCACATGCGAGTTCAGTGACATGACTTAGGTCTGGCCTACACGACAGAGTTAGGTCCATGTAAGGTAGCTTATGCAGAGGCCCTGACATCCTGAGTGCTCGAGCCCCACTCCATTAGGTTCACCGGGGGAAGGAGATCAAAGCCCTGAGGTAAGTGGGGAAGTGGGATACTGTGAGGAAGCCTGAGCAGGAGAGCGCATATTCTCATACTGAGAAAGCAGGATGATCAGTGAGTTATCTTAAGTGCCTATACACAAATGCAAAAAGCCTGGGAAACAAGCAGGGAGAACTAGAAGTCCTGGCACAGTCAAGGAATTATGATGTGATTGGAATAAAAGAGACTTGGTGGGATAACTCACATGACTGGAGTACTGCCATGGATGGATATAAACTGTTCAGGAAAGACAGGCAGGGCAGAAAAGGTTGGGGAGTTGCATTGTATGTAAGAGAGGAGTATGACTGCTCAGAGCTCCGGTATGAAACTGCAGAAAAACCTGAGAGTCTCTGGATTAAGTTTAGAAGTGTGAGCAACAAGGGTGATATCGTGGTGGGAGTCTGCTATAGACCACCAGACCAGGGGGATGAGATAGACGAGTCTTTCTTCCGGCAACTAACAGAAGTTACTAGATCACAGGCCCTGGTTCTCATGGGAGACTTCAAACACACTGATATCTGCTGGGAGGGAAATACAGTGGTGTACAGACAATCCAGGAAGTTTTTGGAAAGCATAGGGGACAATTTCCTGGTGCAAGTACTGGAGGAACCAACTAGGGGCAGAGCTCTTCTTGACTTGCTGCTCGCAAACAGGGAAGAATTAGTAGGGGAAGCAAAAGTGGATGGGAACCTCGGAGGCAGTGACCATGAGATGGTTGAGTTCAGGATCCTGACACAAGGAAGAAAGGAGAGTAGCAGAATATGGACCCTAGACTTCAGAAAAGCAGACTTTGACTCCCTCAGGGAACTGATGGGCATGATCCCCTGGGAGAATAACATGAGGGGGAAAGGAGTCCAGGAGATCTGACTGTATTTTAAAGAATCCTTATTGAGGTTGCAGAAACAAACCATCCTGGTGTTTAGAAAGAATAGGATATATGACAGGCGACCAGCTTGGCTTAACAGTGAAATCCTTGCTGATCTTAAACACAAAAAAGAAGCTTATAAGAAGTGGAAGATTAGACAAATGACCAGGGAGGAGTATAAAAATATTGCTCAGGCATGCAGGAGTGAAATCAGGAAGGCCAAATCACACTTGGAGTTGCAGCTAGCAAGAGATGTTAGGAGTAGCAAAAAGGGTTCTTCAGGTATGTTAGCAATAAGAAGAAAGTCAAGGAAAGTGTTGGCCCCTTACTGAATGAGGGAGGCAACCTAGTGACAGAGGACGTGGAAAAAGCTAATGTACTTAATGCTTTTTTTGCCTCTGTCTTCTCGAACAAGGTCAGCTCCCAGACTACTGCACTGGGCAGCACAGCATGGAGAGGAGGTAACCAGCCCTCTGTGGAGAAAGAAGTGGTTCAGGACTATTTAGAAAAGCTGGAGAAGCACAAGTCCATGAGGGCGGATGTGATTGCAGAGCCATTGGCCATTATCTTTGAAAACTCCTGGCGGTCAGGGGAGGTCCTGGATGACTGGAAAAAGGCTAATGTAGTGCCCATCTTTAAAAAAGGGAAGGAGGAGGATCCAGCGAACTACAGGCCAGTCAGCCTCACCTCAGTCCCTGGAAAAATAATGGAGCAGGTCCTCAAGGAATCAGTTCTGAAGCACTTAGAGGAGAGGAAAGTGATCAGGAACAGTCAGCATGGATTCACCAAGGGCAAGTCATGCCTGTCTAACCTAATTGCCTTCTATGATGACATAAATGTCTCCGTGGATAAGGGGAAAGCAGTGGACGTGTTATTCCTTGACTTTAGCAAAATTTTTGATATCATCTCCCACAGTATTCTTGCTGGCAAGTTAAAGAAATATGGGCTGGATGAATGAACTATAAGGTGGACAGAAAGCTGGCTAGATCGTCGGGCTCAATGGGTAGTGATCAATGGCTCCATGTTTAGTTGGCAGCCAGTATCAAGCAGAGTGCCCCAAGGGTCGATCCTGGAGCCGGTTTTGTTCAATATCTTCATTAATGATCTGGCGGATGGCATGGACTGCACCCTCAGCAAGTTTGCAGATGACACTAAACTGGGACGAGTGGTAGATAGGCTGGAGGGTAGGGATAGGATACAGAGGGACCTAGACAAATTAGAGGATTGGGCCAAAAGAAATCTGATGAGGTTCAACAAGGACAAGTGCAGAGTCCTGCGCTTAGGATGGAAGAATGCCATTCACTGTTACAGACTAGGGACCGAATGGGTAGGAAGCAGTTCTGCAGAAAAGGACCTAGGGGTTACAGTGGACGAGAAGCTGGATATAAGTCAACAGTGTGCCCTTGTTGCCAAGAAGACTAACAGCATTTTGGGGCATTGCCAGCAGATTGAGGGACGTGGTCATTCCCCTCTATTTGACATTGGTGAGGCCTCATCTGGAGTACTGTGTCCAGTTTTGGGCCCCACACTACAAGAAGGATGTGGAAAAATTGGAGAGTCCAGTGGAGAGCAACAAAAATGATTAGGGGGCTGGAGCACATGACTTATGAGGAGAGGCTGAGGGAACTGGGATTGTTTAGTCTGCAGAAGAGAAGAATGGCGGGGGGGTGGGGGTGGGGATTTGATAGCTGCTTTCAACTACCTGAAAGGGGGTTCCAAAGAGGATGGATCTAGACTGTTCTCAGTGCTACCAGGTGACAGAACAAGGAGTAATGGTCTCAAGTTGCAGTAGGGGAGGTTTAGGTTGGATATTAGGAAAAACTTCTTCACTAGGAAGGTGGTGAAACACTGGAATGGGTTACCTAGGGAGGTGGTGGAATCTCCTTCCTTAGAGGTTTTTAAGATCAGGCTTGACAAAGCCCTGGCTGGGATGATTTAGTTGGGGATTGGTCCTGCTTTGAGCAGGGGGTTGGACTAGATGACCTCCTGAGGTCACTGCAAAAGGGCTGGTCTAGGGTGGTCACTCATATGCAGGAGTTCAAGAGTTATAATCTTTCTACAAATCTCAAATTCTAGCACTGATATGTTGAATGGCCAGCCAGGTGCAACAATTGTACACGTATACAAACCTGTTTCTCCCTTAACTTTTCCATCCACCTCTGCTGACACAGCAGGAACTATGAACTACCAGTTAAAAGCTCCATCATGATGCTGATATTGTAAAACAAATTATGGCTTAAATTACATTTACTTTCATCAGTCAACTCTTTAACACACACTGTTGTTGTGACTTCTTTGTTGGATAACCACACGCACAAAAAAAGCATTTCAGGATCAAATTCCCATGCCACTCAGTTTATTGCCAAAGAACAGTGATGGAAAATATTTCCACTGCATACAATTCACTGCTGAAGCTTATAAGATATTTAATTCATGCACAGATTTACTGATGGAGATGTTTTAGTAATATGTTTATAATAAAATAATATTTACCTTCTCTGCTCTATTTCTGCTGCTCGAAGACACAAGCCCACACTGCTGCCAAGTGCTATCCAGACTTGAATAGACAAGACTCATATTCACTCCTAGATAGGGGAGAATACTTTCTTTACAGCTGGTGTGCAACCTGATTGGAGTTTTATGTTGCTATGTTTTTTTTCTTTTCTTTTAAGCTCTTCCAACCTTTGACCACTAGTGAAAGATTACCAAACAGGGTAGTTCTTAGAAACGTGAAAAGAATTCAAAATGTCTGAATAAAAACATGGTAATATGACCCAAACTCCCTGAGTATGTCTGAATTAAATAACTCAACAGTAAAACTATTCAAATGATAGTATAGTAGTTTTCACTTTCACTCCAACTTTTTTACCAGCAGCGTGATTAAGGAAGACAGGAAAAATGGAAAGAGGAAAAAAAAGGGGTGGTGAAGTAGATCTGAGAGTCATCAACATAAAGATGGCAGTTAAAACCCTATCGCTGGAGCATGGGATTAAACCGTAGAAAGGAACATTTCTGCTAGGGTGGTTTAGGGATTGGGAAGATCCCCATAGGGAAGGCATTGCTTACCCTTGATTTTTGAGTAAGATGCCAGTGTCATCTGCTGATGTGTATAAACTGGCACTAAGCACACCTCTGAGGCTCAACCCTGTGCCCACTGAAAACTATTGGAGTTTTGCAGTTTACTTCAAAGAGAGACATTTCAGGCAGACATGCCAAACCCGTGGGGAAAAAATGCAGAAATTGGGCTTGTTTTTTGGCTTAATTGGCTTGTGAGTTGCTTGTTGGCTAGTAGCTCATTGCTTGTTCGTCTTGTAGCTTGTTGCTTCTTTTTTTTATTGGCTCCCGGCATATGGGGGCAAGAAGGAGCAAGGGGGTGGAGTGGGAGTCAGGGTTGCACAGCAGGCCCATCACAGTCCCAGACTGCATGCCGGGGGGATCTAGTCACATAGAATGTTGGGGTTTTTAGGGATTGGCTTGTTTTAAAATTGGATTGGCTTAATTTTTGGCTTATTGTGAAAGTTGGGGTGCTTATTTACTACATGAAAGTTGGCAACTGTGATTTCAGACCCCAAATGACAATTTTAACTCCAGGGTCTCAGAACCCACAACTCCCACTTTCTTTTAGTCTGGAATGCCACTAAAAAGAAGCCATTTACTTAAATCATCTGTAAGACCGGAGAATGTATTTCACATGATCTTACAGAATTGACATGGGAGTGTGTGGTCATAATTAGGTCTTCCAGTCTATTCTAGTTTTTCTGAGCTTTTTCTTTGATTTTCTTGAAATATGGAATTTCCTTGAAGTTCCCAAAAAATAAGATGTGGGTTTTGGGGTTTTTGTTTTTGTTTTATTCATTTTATTCATAACTGCACTCAAAAACAAAACAATGTAAAACTTTAGTGCCTTCAAGTCCACTCAGTCCTACTTCTTGTTCAGCCAATCGCTAAGAGAAACAAGTTTGTTTACAATTAGGGGAGATAATGCTACCCACTTTTTAATTATGTCACTCAAAAGTGAGAACAGGCATTTGCATGGCACTGTTGTAGCTGGGGTCGCAAGATATGTATGTGCCAGATGCACTAAAGATTCACATGCCTCTTCATGCTTTGGCCATCGTTTCAGAGGACATGCCTCCATCCTGATCATGCTCTTCAAAAAAACTAATGTGTTAATTAAATTTGTGACTGAACCCCTTTGGAAGAATTGTATGTCTTCTGCTCTGTTTTACCCGCATTCTGCCATATATTCCATATTATAGTAGTCTCGGATGATGACCCTGCACAGGCTGTTCGTTTTAAGAACACTTTCACTGAAAATTTGACAAAATGCAAAGAAGGTACCAATGTGAGATTTCTAAAGATAGCTACAGCACTCAACCCAAGGTTTAAGAATCTGAAGTACCTTCCAAAATCTGAGAGGGATGAGGTGTGGAGCATGCTTTCAGAAGTCTTAAAAGAGCAACATTCTGATGTGGAAGCTACAGAATCTGAACCACCAAAAAAGAAAATTAACCTTCTGCTGGTGGCAACTGACTCATGATGATGAAAATGAACATGCATCAGTCCGCACTGCTTTGGATTGTTATCGAGCAGAACCCGTCATTAGCATGGACACAAGTCCTCTGGAATGGTGGGCGAAGCATCAAGGGACATACAAATCTTCAGCGAATCTGGCATGTAAATATCTTGCAATGCCAGCTACAACAGTGCCATGTGAACCCCTGTTCTAACTTTCAGGTGACACTGTAAACAAGAACCAGACAGCATTATCTTCTACAAATGTAAACAAACTTGTTTGAGCGATTGGCTGAACAAGTAGGACTGAGTGGACTTGTAGGCTCTAAAGTTTCACATTGTTTTATTTTTGAATGCAGGGTATTTTTTGTACATAATTCTACATTTGTAAATTCAACTTTCATGATAAAGAGATTGCACTACAGTATTTGTATTAGATGAAAAATACTATTTCCTTTGTTTTTTAAAGTGCAAATATTCATAATCAAAAATAAATATAGTGAGAACTGTACACTTTGTATTATGTTGAAATTGAAATCAATATTTGAAAATGTAGAAAACATCCAAAATTATTTAAATAAATGGTATTCTATTAACAGCACGCTTAATCATAATTAATTTTTTTAATCGCTTGACTGCCCTAATGACTACTAAAACCTTTCTAAACAAGTAGTTGAGTCATATGAACAGATCATCTTATTCTGTAACTGTGACCAAAAGCACCCCTGTATTCACACCTTACACACACTATTGTAATTTATTTTTGTACAAAACATCCTTTGTAAGGTATCATCTGGAAACTAATAATTTTCTGGCCAAAAATATCATGTTGAAATGTATGTAGTGTCGTCAGATGTTCGTGCGTGTGCTCTCTGTGTGCTGCTGCACTGGCTCTGGCCAGATAGCTAGTACAGCAGGCGCCAATCTAACTGCCCAATCAGACCACAAGACTTGGTTTAGTAGCGAAGGCGCCCGGCCAGGTTTATTGTCGACGAAGCAAGGTAATAGCACCTGGCAGACTCTACGAGGATACTAGGACATGTATGCTCATGACAATGGATGCAGCTCAGTCAGTGGTGGGACTTTCCACTGCTCCCTAGTCTGGCCAAAGACATTCCCACTAAGATACATCTTTATACACCAATGCAAACAAATTACATATTGCCCCTGATGTATCAGGGTGCCACTCTCTGACGTATTAGGGTGCCACTCATTACCTTGTAGGTGTTGTTTGATTGAAACATCTCTATCCATCATACTGTCATCTTGACCTTATCCTTAGAATGGGTCAGTGTTTCTATTATCATTGAGGAATGTGCTGGCATTAAGGTGTTCTGGTACCATCTTTCTGAAATGTGTTTGCGTATATATTCTTATGCCTAGCATTACTTAGGAATATGCGTTTCTGCAATATCAGGCCTGTTCTTGCCAGATTCTGTGAGCAGGGCCTGCTTCTTGCTCACAACTTAACTTTGCTTTATATGAGCAAGTTATGACCATTACTTTATTCCAGGTCTCATACCAAGCCTCTGCTACAAGGCCTTATGTTTCAGGCCATCTTCTTACTGCACGTAGCAACATTATATGTAAAGTTATAAACCCCCCTTGTATGATACTGTGAGCATGTGTTCAAACCCTCACAGCCCTGCCTTGGCAAAAGTTGTTCAACGGGTTTATCCTACACAACGAAATGTGTGTTTACCCCAATGTACATAGTAGTAGTAAATAGGGTCCTTGAGACAGCAAGAGGGGGAAATGGCAGGAGATAAGGCAAATCTGCATTTCAGCATACACAGGGAAGAAGAAAAAGCAAGGAGCCACCTTCACCGCCAGACTCCATGTCACCTTCTTTACTGTTTGAATAAACTTTGCTTTAAGGGGTAATCCTTAGAAGAATCCACTGCAAAGGGTGACTGCACTACAAAAGTGAGGGGCAAAAACACCCCCAAAGGATGACTCCCTACCTCTGGCTCTCTTTCATCTAAGAAAGACAAAGTAACCACCCCTTTGACTCTGAGGGGAAACCACGACCAGAGAATACGGTCATCTGTGTTGCTGGGAACCTGTGGTAAGGATTTTACCTTGAACCAAGTGTAGCTTGTTAAGTTGTAGCTACTAGAAGGCATTTTGTCTTTATTTCTCTTGTAACCATTTCTGACTTTAATACTTTATACGTGTACTCACTTAAAACCTACCTTGTTAAGATAAAATTAACTTATTTCATTTTTTAACTACTAATTTCATTTTAACAAACTAATTCAGTGCTGTGTTTAAACTGAACTGTTTGATAACTCCAGGAGTCTAGCAAACAGCTGAATTTTGACCCCTTACAGGTGCAAAGGACCTCTAATATCTGAACAGTGCAAAAGAGGGCTGGACAGCTCAGAACACGTTTTGGGGGAAATTGGGGAGTGTGTTGGGGTCACCCTGAAAGTAGTAACCAAGGTTGCTGGAAGTCAGAATGTGGCTGGTCTGCTGCTGACAGGCTGCTGTGGTCAGAGTTGCTGGACCAAGTCTGTAACTATACGTGGACACTCAGAGCGTGACCTGCATGCTGGCAGGTTGGTTGTGGGTGGCCCAGATTGGTAGCTACAACAGTAAAGCACTGTGAGGCACCTATGGTTGCAGGCCAAGCAGTGATGCGAGCCCTCATAGGTCTGAAATGAATCCCAGAATGTGACACTATCATGCTACATAGGATCTTCTGGGCTGAAGGGTCTCATTCCTAAATATGTAACGAAGTTAAATATTTCTAGTTCTCAAAACAAATGTGGCAATAGCAGTAAACACTCTGCATACAAAAAAAAATTAACTTGTTTGAAGCCCTGATAGCTAAAATAGTCATACTAAAAATACATTAAAATTTAAGAGTGCACACACGACCCTTCATCATCTAGAGGCTTGGCAGCCCCTGTTCCCGATTTATTGAGAGACCTGTCTCTTGAAATTAGCTTTATGCCTAGTTATTGTCTGAACAATCACTCATACACTAACAAGTCATACCTGTACTTAGTTCCTTTCGTACAAAGTATCCCAAACTACTTTATACAAAAGAGCCTCAAGTTATCTTTGAAAAATGTTATATTACATTATGAATATTTTTTCCACCAGAGGGAGACCATATCTTCATAAACAAGAAGTAAACCTGCTAAAATATTTAGCAACTCGGAGATCCTTGGATTTTCATTTATAATTGATGACCAATAGAAAACATCTATTGCAGCTTGATCTATAACCACAGAGGAGTTACAATGGAATAGTGTCTTCTCCCCTCCCTCCATGTCTCCCTCCACATTTCAGTTATTTATTTTTGCTTCATATCTCTTGCCTTGGTTTATTCACTCTTTCCTCTATTTCTTCATTTAAAATTTTTTCCTGTTCCTTTTTATAAGCCAAATACAGCCTCCTCCTTACTCTTATACCCACATTGTACCATGCTACATCTTCCTCCCATTAGCAATAGTCTTCCATTTCTCACCTCTCTCCATAGCCTGTGATCTTCCAGCCATCCTACTGCTCTTCTCCTAGATGTACTATTGTGGAACACAAAACAGTGCAGCAAAGCACAGAGCATGCTGATGTCACTGTAACGCCAAGAAAACAGCTGGGCTAACATCTTTGTGTTGGGTCCTGCAGCTTGGCTGGATCTTTTTGCTCTATCTTGTACTAACAGACTTTTCACAATGGTTGACTTCAACAGTGGTAATGCCAACTGGAGTCACACCTACATAATATGGCACCTTATAATTACTAAGAGAAACGCAGTATTCTGAACTGTTACTCAAGTTTAACTACAATGGTGTGGTCTTGTACTCTGCTGATTGTAGAAAATAAGTCCCATTAATTAAATTATTATTTTCATAACATTTTCCATAAGGCTAACTACTGCACAAGTTCAAAAGAGAAGTTGCCTTTCAAACAGATCCATCAAACTTTTGAAAATGATTTTAAGGCCTTCATGTCCTTTAGAACTTTATTCCAAATTCTTTGTCTGGATTATGGCCAAAAAGTTAAAATTTGAAAACAAGAGGAATTAAAGGGTTTTCACTGCTCTGGTTTTACCTTTTTTTTAAAAATCGTATCCAAGATGTCAATTTTAAACCCTATGTAATCTGAAATGGCCAAGTTATCGAACCACCTTTATAATGTAGAAACGATTTTATCTTTAACATCAGCAGTGTTATTGGTGCTGCTGTAGTATGGGGAAGAGGAAGGATATCATCTAAAATGGAACTCTGAGGAGGTGGTGTTAAGCTGAAAGGTCACCACCAGTCAGTCTCTCTATAGCCGTTAATGAATGAGAATGGTTAGAAGCACCATTAATAAGTTGTATTTGAAGCATTGTAGAGTCCCACAGATAGAGCAGCTTTATAGTAAGCACTCCCCATTTCTTCACCAGAACTTCCACACGTATCTCAGGCTGAAGATAACAGAATAGGTGTTCAGCACACCTTTGAATTGTGGCACATGCAGCATCTGCTCTAGCATCTTTTCATCTTGCATGTCTGATCTCTTCAAGGACAGTTATTGAGGTGGGAAGGGAGAGAGAACAGATGTATAGGTTTCTAGACTTCATACAGATTAACAATATGCCTAACATTTCACATTTGAAATGTTAAACTCAATTTATTAATTACGATGAAAGTCATCAGAAGAGTATTCTCCTGAAATTAAAAGAGTTTGGTTTTTTTCCTTCAAAAATGAAAACCAATACATGCTTGGTAGAGCCACAGATGCTGTGGCTTTCCTGACTGCCTCTTTCTCCCTACATGTGTCCACGCATACTAATGACACAGCCAGTTCAGCAAATTCAGTCTAGTCACTATCTAAATCAACAGGGTTGTAATCAGGGTCATCCTCTTCATCGTCCAACTCCAAGTCATCCATTTCCTGGAACAAGGATTCATCCACTTCCACACTGTTTCCAGCTGCAAGGGTGGGGGGGGTGGGGGGAAGAAAACAAAATGGTGTTTTATTATGGATTTTTATGGAAACAAGAAAAAGAAAATAAGGGGTTTTTCCTTCATTCTTCAAACAGAAAAGAAAGACACGTTGCTCTGCTACTTCATCAGCTAGCTCAGTAGTTTTCAAACTGTGGTCCATGGACCCTGGGGGGCCCACAGACTGTGTCTAAGATTTCCAAAGGGGTCCGCACTTCCATTTGAAATTTGTTAGGGGTCCGCAAATGAAAAAAGGTTGAAACCCTCTGAGCTAGCTGAAAAGATCAGATTGTCCAAGAACCTTTGTGTCCTCTTGCTTCACCACAGAGAACAATTCCCAGGTACCAGCTATTTAAAGTTATTCCATGTTGCTGGTCCAAATTTAATGAACTTTACTGTTTGATTCATGCATGTTTACTTGAACAGAATGGGGATAGGTGGAAGAACAACCACCCCCTAATTTTTTATTAACTAGAATAATGACGCTTTCCCCACTTCAGTGCTTAACAGAGCTGATTGTAACATAGGTAAAATATCCACTGCCCATTGATGAACTGATGATACCACTGCTAGTTCCAAGAGATGGCAATTGTTCTAAATTATCCAATTCATTCTAAGATAAGTGCATCAATTCCTGAAAGCTGCAAGGTCTCTATTGCCCCAATCTTGCAAACACAAGTGTAAGTAATAAATAAATAAAATCAATGGGATGACGAGTATGAAGTTACTCTATGCTTAAGTGCAAAATATGGGCCTATGGGAATATTAGAAACACAACACCTCAAACACTACATCTAACATAACGCCACACGTCGCTTTCAGGACAGCAACTACTGGAATGTTATTTGAGAACATTTGACCTACAGCAGCTTAGAAGAATGCTGGTTAGACCAACATAAGATCTCTCCATATGCCTCAAGCCTCCCTCTTCTCAGTACATCAAGCAACAGTCTAAATTTTTCCAAACGAATTTAGCTCACAAAGCGGTATCAGTTACTTTATACAGAGGGAAAAATTGCAAAGCTATATGAGATTTACAAGGAAGCAACAAAACCTGACAAACTTTTTTCTTTAAAGCCAACCACCCTTTTTCATACATCGAACCCTTGTTATTTGTTACGCGCATGAAAAATAAAATTATATTTTAAGGAACTGCTAAGGCTCGACTGATGGAAAAAAAACATGAAAAATATATTCAAGAGTTCTACATTTAAATCAGTTATGATGTCTAATGGGAAAAGGCAAGCAGATAAAATTCAAACACTTGTACTTACACACACACAAAAACAAAAAACCCTGTTTCAAAGTTTCAATGGTGGTAATAGCAAGTTGTAGGGCTTGTCTACACTACAGGTTATGTTGATATAACTTATGTTGCTCAGGGTTTGAATAAGCCACTCCCCCGAGCAACGTTAAGTTACAATGACCAAAGTGCCAGCATGGACACAGCTACCACCTCTCACAGAGGTTGTTTTATTATTCCAAAAGAAGAGCTCTCTCGGCATAGAACATCTTCACCAGACCCTCTATTGCGACCCAGCCTATGCAGCTGCACCACTTTAGCGCTTCTAGTGTAGACTAGTCCATAGAGATACTGGAAGTGCAGCTTTGTACATTTTCATATTTCCTTCTGACAGCTACGTAAATGACTGATAAAACCTCCAGTATGTCACAGTTGGGTCTGCATGGAACAATGGTGACATCTACTGGCCACTTAAAACAATCCCAAGCTTATACTTCTCACCTGTGCGTATTTCACAGGGGGCCTCTGTTTTCAATTAAAAGGTAATAATATAGAAAAGGTTTGAGATTTATCCATCCCCTTCCCATTGTGTATTAATGTCAGAGTTACAATATGGCACTCTATTAAAATGGAGTTATTTAAAACTAAACCGCAGTTTCTTACTCATTCTCATGTTGTCATGCACACCTCAGTTGTGCCCATGGTAGAGGACACCAGAGCAACATCCTCATTTAGGGCCAGATCCTGTTCTTACTGAAGTCAGTTGGCGTTTTGTCACTGACAGGAGCAGGACCAAATGCACACTGAATTAGGGTCACTATATGGTTTAAAAGTTAATGCTTTAAAGTAAAGGTCATTTACATGAAAAACAAAACTTGGTGACGACCCGAATGCCTTTAAACAAAATGTGCATAGGGGTCTATTCTTCTGCTATAAAGTTGCTGACATCATCATCAACATGGCAGGACCTGCATAAAAACACACTCCCCAATTTGTATTCAGAGTTTTACCGGCCAATATCAGTGACAAAAAAAGTTTGTACTGTTTTTTACTTCTGATAGACCTAAAGAGTCAAGAAAGCTAAGAGACAGCTGAATTCTATTGCTTCTTGTGCATCAAATGACTGAGTTAATAAGGCCTTAACCACGTGGGAAAATTATATTGGTTTAACTTAAAACTGGTTTAGAAGAATATATATTTTGCTAATGCTCTCAGTGTTTTGGGTTTGTTTTTTTAAAAAACACTACTTCACAATATTTCTACTAAAGAAGTTCTCCCCATATTAAACAAACATTTAAGACAACTTTTAACCACAACTAAGGCTAGGATTTAGTCACGGAGGTGACGACAGTCACAGATTCAGTGACTTTACCGGACCTCTGTGACTTCTATGCTGTCGGAGGCAGGACTGTGCGCCCCTGCCTTTCAACTGGGGCTGACAGGAATCAGAACCCTGCTGCCCCAGTTCCATGGCTTCCGCCGTGGCCACACGCCCCAGCCCTGTGGTGTCCCAGGCTTGGCAGGGGCTGCAGCTGGGGCCACACGCCCCAGCCTGGTGGCTGCTGTGGGGCATGTCCCCCTCACCCTTCACTGTGACCAGGACTTGGAAGTAGCAGCATTCGGGGCCACACACCCTATCCTGCAGCTGCGGCCAGCTCCAGAGCAGGTGCTGTGTCCCCCCCCATGGCTGCGACCCCACTGCGGCCGCTGGGACTCCATTCCTCCCCTCTACCTAGCTCTGCCCTCCCAGTTATTTTTAGTAAAGTCACGGACAGGTCATGGATTCCGTGAATTTCTGTTTATTGCCCGTGACCTGTCCGTGACTTTTACTAAAAATAACTGCGACAAAATCTTAGCCTTAACCATAACTAAGCTACACAATTTGAAGTTTAGTCAGATTTCTAATCAAATCTTTCAATAGTGCAAATAACAGGGGAAAAAACAGAAGTTTACCTTCTTCTAAGAACTGAATGTCAGACGTGTCAAGATTATGATCGGTTTCAAATAGTTGTTTTCCTAAAAGGAATAATAAATATTAAAATTAGCGATCGCTTGGAACGTAGTTACTAAAATCATGTAACATGACATTTTGTAAGAGTATTTTAGAATTTTGATATTTAAATAACATCAAAGTAATATTTGATAATTTATGTTCCCTTGGCATTTTGCTCAGATTATACTTGGACCAGTTACTTCTTTGCCTATCTTGTCTATTAAATTTTAAGCTTTCTGGGCAGGTGTTGTCCATCTCTCTGGGATTCCTTCCCTTACAGGTGAGACAGGCCCTGCAAAAGAGCTCCATGCAAGAATTAATGCAGCCTCAGGTGAAACCAATGCTGAGATAAGGGATACACCACCACTGTCTCCTGTGGTTTTGCCTGCAGCCTGGAGGCCACACACAATGCTTCTGAAGTATCAAGGAAGAAAGAATATGGTGCTGTGGATCCATCACATCTATGCACAACAGGTCAGATTGTCGTCTCCATGCACACTGACTTAGGCCAATCAGGCCCATGTTTGTTGCATTCAGCATGTATTTGATTCCCCTTCCTACCATGTGTCCATGTAAAGTAAAATGGAACCTTTTATAAAAATGGACATGAATCTTTCCATGCCCACATTACCTATCTTCTGAGAATTTAATGGAATTCATTTTATACTGATTCTACAATCTACTCAAAAACCATTTAACGTGCCTAATGTTCATATTAAATTGCTTAAGACATCTATATTTGTATTGCTACTACACATGGCTTCTGAAAACATGTCAGATTTAGCAAAATCCTTTCAAACATACATTTCCATGAATTTAACCTAATAAATTAAAAAAAACAACACACACATCCTCACAAGTTACATGAGGAGAAGCTCTGCATGGCTCGAAAGCTTGTCTCTCTCACCAACTGATGTTGGTCAAGTAAAAGATATTACCTCACCCATCCTGTCTCTCGAATATCCTGGGACTGACATGGCTACAACTACACTGCAAAAAACTCTTTGACACTGCAGGGGCCAAATCCAGAGGTTCTTATTCAGCCAAACTCCCATCCAAGTCAATACCTCAGGATCTGAAGCCACGTCTCTGATATCTATCTATTCCACACAAGCTACACCATTAGTATTTGCTTTGTTGGCACAACCCTGGTTCGCTTCATGCACAAGCAAACTGGCTTAAACACAATGAAAATGATGCATTTCAGCTATGCGGGAGGCCAGCCAGAAGAAAGTCTATATATGGTCTTCACCCTTTCTGTGCCACGGAGCCAAGCTCTGCAGCATTGCCCTGATTTTAACCATGGAGGGGATACTTTCAGTGGGCCAGCATGGTCCTAAAAAGAGAAGATATGGATCTACGAGGCTGTAATCCCATTGAAGGGAAGGGGTCCAATGACAGGCCATAATCACTACTACTCTCCAGAGCTAATTGCTGCAGCCACAACCAACCTGTGCAGTTGTCTGAGGGTGAAGATTTCCTCCTCCATAGACAGTTCCTACAGGTAACTCAGGCTTTGCCCATTTGATATCAATTTTGCCCCCCTTATGGCATATGGGCAGACTAAACCAAATTATACGGACAGTAAGAATATTGCACCACCACCAAACCCTGCTTCTCAACCTCTCAGAGCACAAGAGATTGTGTCTTCTTTATATTGGTTAACTGTCTCATGCATTAACAAATATATCACCTATTTTGTAGTGACGAACCAGAAACAATACCAACATCTACATTCAGCTGAATAATTTAATGTGGAGCTGGCAATCTATATGTTCCAGTTAATACAGACTATCCTACCGTAGCACTCTCCATTTTCCTCCCCTTTCCAATTTTCCTCACCATTCCTTGATGCTGTGAATGGGTTTCATGAGAGAAATGGAAACATTTAGGACTCACACTTGCTCCAACATAAATGCTCAAGCCTCCTTTCTAAGGCACAACAGTAAGACGCTAACGCTCAATTTACAAGATAAATCTTCCCTGTTAACAATCAGATGTTACTGGGGTCTGACAAATCTTTTAGTATAAAAATTAAAATTCTTGGACATGGTTTCATTATCTGACACACTGGTCTGATAAGTTGGCAAACTTGGAGAAAATTGTAAAGTCATACCACTTAATTTATTTTTGCCTGATTGCTCTTCTTCTTTCATCTTTTTTCTTTTAATTTCTAGGAGCTCTGCATCAAACTTTGCTTTCCAGCTTAGGAAATTCTCGATTGTAACAGGAGTGCCATGGAAACATAGCTGCAAAAGAAAAAAAATTAAGAGCTCAGTGGCAAAGCAAAGAGTAAAGATTAATATTCTCTTTATGGTTGAAATTATTGTATACCAAGAAGCAGTAACTACTAGGCACCAATTTTAACTAGGTTCCTTACAGCAAATTAACCACACTACAGTAAGACCAAGTGAAAAGTGTGACATTCTTGTTTCTTTTTACATGTGGCTTGCAAATTTATTCACAGAAAACTACTGTAGAAAATCCCTGTTTTGATTTGGATCTATAATGTAATACCAATAAGATAGAGCAGCATATGCACAGGTGGGTAGTGCACCTTATTAGTGGTTTAGGTCAAGTCACAATGAACAAGGGGCGGGTACGTGAGTGGTAAGGATGGACAGAGATGCTTTGTAGGTGAATATTTGCTATTAAAATTCCTAAAACCACAGAACAAGTTTATATTTGATATCTGTACCACAGGGGGGGGGTGAAATATGCGACCAGCAAGACTCCTCCTCTATCATGGAGGGAGAGGAGAATAATTGTTCCTTCCACCACCTCCCTCATGTGGAAACTACATAGTGACCCTGCTGTGCAATCACATTCCTCCATACTATGGGGCTTCCAGAGTGCTTTGTGCTTGTAAAAGCCCACAGCCAAACCTCATAATGTGGGATTTCAGAAATGCAGTGCATTCTGAGATGTAAATACCAGGGAAACACCAAAGAGCATGAGTGTGTGAACAGACCTATAGTGACGGGATCCCAACTGAAGGGATATTGAGTCCTACAGCCATCTAGCTGCTACCGAAAGAAGTGAAAACTCAGTGGTGGAATTTCTTCTAACGCATCTTGAGAATGGAAAGAGCTACTTAGTGGTGGCAAAGAAATACCAGGCTACAGTGAATAGGCTACTGGATCTGGCTGACACTAGAGGTTGAGCCATCCAATTTCTTTTCCATCAAGTCAATCGACCGAGACAGAGGAATGGAGTTATCCCCCTTCCTGGTGGCATTCATGTTATAAAGGAGGGAGAGGAGGCATCAGAAAACTGTACAGGCTGTTCAAACCTTCAACAGCCGGCCACAGTGCCCCAGGGACTGTTCAACATCTGAGAACAGTATGAGAGTAATGCAATATACTCTATCCCCTTCTGCTCCTTATCCCTTCCTTCCACTTAAAATGAAAGCCACACGGAGGATGGCATACAGCTGGTTAACGCCAGCTCTGCACTACGTGGGCACTCTCTCATTTCAAGGAAGAATATTTGGCTAGAGGGATAATGTCAGTGTCCACTCTCTGTGCTATTTGGGGGTCCAAAGGGAGTGGAGTGGTCAGAGGACATGCCCCAAGCTTTTAAAGCACTGCCAGAAGCTATTATGCATTCAGTAAATACCAGAAAGGTTCAACCTGGAAAGTGCAATATTTATGATTTATTAAATCAATGAAGTTGTGCTCAATGTGTGGCTACATCTGAACTTTTAAATATTGTTTTTGGTTCTGCTAGTTGTGTGTGTCTGGGACAATTCTACTACGAGCCAATCCTACAGCAACTACAGCAGCTTTAGGAAGGAAAACCAAAAAATTGTTAGTTGAAAATGGAATACTTCACCCACCTTTTCTGCCTCCTCTGCTTCTCTTTCCTTCTGTTTCTTTTCCTCCTCTCGTCTTGTTTTTATTTGATCCACTATTTCATTTAATTTCTCTTGTACAGCTGACATTAGAGTGAAGATCATTACCATCCCCAAGTTCTCTTCTGCCTGCAACATAAAAGGCGGCACCCTCAGGCAATTCACCAGGCAAACTCATTGTGGACAGAGAGGTTACACCTTCCGCCTGTCTGGAAAGTGTTTATGCTTAGCCCTGTAGGAATGCAAGTTTCACTGCTGAATTGCCTTGCACCAGTTTTGGAAATTGAGTCAAATTTATTTCATTGGGTTTAAGCCACTTAAAATGATCCCAGGTGAAAGAGGAGGGAAGAGCAGCAAAACATCAGCACTGTTCTCTCAGGTCACTATTAGGAATGTAAATAGGGTTTAAAAATAGTAACCGTTAAACCTATTAAAATTCTATTGTTTAAACGATTAACCGTTAAGGAGTTCACATAGGCAGGGAACTAAGAGTGCAGGGGGTGCTGCAGCACTCCCATGTTTTACGTGGGATCCCCCTGCCGGGACCTTGGGCCAGCAGCAGGACCCCGGGTGCAGGGCCGGTAGCGGAGTTTAATCATTAACCGAAACCGTTAAGACTGATGCTTACTGGTTAACCGGTTAAACTTTTACATCCCTAATCACTATCTTCACAACAGGTTATTAATCCCATCTGATTATAGCCGGCACTCTTGGCAGGAAGGTGATACAGAGTGCTGCTAATTAACCAAAAAAACCTGAAAATGTTTGTTAAATTAAATAATTTTAAAGCAGGTGGGGACGGAACTCCCTAGTGATGAATTCCTAGAGTCATTCTGGGTATGTCTACACTGCAGTTCAAAGCAAGCCCTTCCAGCCCAGAAGACTGACTTGTGCTAACGGAGCTTGAGCCAGCACAGTAAAGATAGTGAAGTGGACACTAGCTCTGGAGGAGACTCAGGTTAGTAGCTCGAGCTCAGACCCAGGGGGTTGGGTGGGCTTGAGAGCCCAAGCTGTAACTTCTTTACTGTTATTTTTAGCAGGCTCACTCTCAGCTGCAGGGTAGACACTCACAGGTGCTTACTAATTACCCGCACAAGTCAATACGGTAGCTAAGGCCTCATCTCAGCATTGTGTCCCCAGTCCTCACTGCTGTTACCAGTCCTACGAGAAACATGCATGCTAGGATCAGTCAGCTAGCTCACAGTTAGTAGCAAGGTTTTGTCTTGATTTTAGTTTCTTTCTTAAGTGCCTTAATACTTCCTTCTACTCTAGTTGTCCAAAGACCTAGTGAGTTTTCCTTTATTTTGGAAGGCAACTTACACAAAACTGTTAAATACAATCAAAGGCATCTGTGCTAAGCAAAAGTTATGGTGCAAGAGAGGTGTTAAACAATTTATTTAGAGTTTTGTTGTTGTGTTTGTGAACCCTAACATAGGAGCCAAGTTAACCCTACTTTGTCATCCTCAGAGTTTAAGGCCAGAAGGAACCATCAGATCATCTTGTTTGATCTCCTGGACATCACAGGCCACGAACACCCACACACTAAACCCAACAACCAAAATTAAACCAAAGAATTACAGCCCACAGTAGACTAAACTATTATGTGTCACTGGCAGAGAATAGGAGGGACCAGTGCTTGAGACCTCTGCAATGGCAGGGTATTCATTAAATGAAATATACCCAGATGATCCTAGCAAGCTACCTGCACCTATGACGCAAAGGAAGGCAAAAAACTCCAATGTCACTGCCTATCTGACTTGGGGGGAAATTCTTTCCCACCCCCACATATGGTGATCAGTTAAACCCTGAGTATGTGAGCAAGAACCAGCCAGCCAGACACCTGAGAGAAAGAATGCTTGATGCCACCTCCGAGCACCAGCCCACCCCATCCAATGTCCCATCTCCAGTCATGGCCATCTCTGATACCTCAGAGAAAACAAAAATGAAAAAAATGGGGTGGGGTGGGAAGATATGGGAATCCCTTCCTGATCCCAGCAAGTGACTGGCCGAAGCCCTTGAGCATGAGATTTTAGGAATATCAGACAAGAACCAGAAAGGATTCCCAGGGCTGCAGCTGCCAAGCCCTGCCCTCCCCACCATCACAAACAACTCTCTCAAACAATCCTATTTGTAAATTTGTCCAGCTCTCTCTTAAAACTAAGTTGTTTGCCCCACATCTACTATTGGGAGGCTGTTCCAGAACCTCATTTCTCTGCCAGTTAGAAACCTTCTAATTACCAGCCTGAATTTGTTGATGGCCAGTTAATACCCATTTGTTCTTGTGCTAACATACGCTAAAGGACTAAATAGCTCTTCATCCTCCCTGGTGTTTACCCCTTCATGGAGCAATCAGATCCCCTTCAGGGAGCAATCAGATCCCTATTGCAGACTTCATTTTCTTAGGGTATGTCTATACTAGAAACGTAAGTCGATCCATCTTAGGTCAACTTTACCCCAAAAATTACTGTGGTGGTGCATGCCCACACTACCCTCCTTGGGTTGGTGGTGTGCGTCCTCACCAGGAGTGCTTCCACAAAGAGGGGCAGTGTGGGGAGCTGAAAACCCGGTTTCTTAGCTCTGCTGGCAGCTCCCTGCCGGGCGCCTGGCTGCCCCCCAGCAGACTGCTCCACCCCCTTTTAGGGGCAAGAAGCCACTTGGAGCTTCTCGCCCCTAGGGAGCAGGGTCCAGCTGCCCCGATTTCTTGCCCTCCCCTGAAGCCAGGCAGACTTGTCAATATCACGACTCACGAAGCTGTAAAATTTACAAGGCTACCCAGCTCCCGGCCAGGCGCAGGCTCCAACAGTCCGGGCTTCTCGGGAGCAGGCTCCCTGCCACCCAGGCTTCTCGCTCCAACTTCCTAGGGGCTCTAGCTGCCCCGCTTTCTTGTCAATTTCAGATTCCTGCTGTGAAACTGACAAGACAGCGAACAGCCACAGCAAGTAATGCAGTGTCTGCACAGACACTGCCTCACCCTAACTACACCGACACAAGCCCTAGGCCTCTCGTGGAGGTGGAGTTATGATGTTGGTGTAGTAGGGCACTTACATCATCAAGAGCAAGGCTGTAGCGTAGACACTGACACTGTAGCGTGATTATGTGGCTGAACTATTATTCTTACATAGCATTTAAAAAAATCATCATAATGTTTTGTTTTAAATATACACTACGCAACTTTTTATAATGGTCAAAAAGCAAAGTCTTAGGGTTTGGAAAATTAAACTGAAGTTAATGTCCGAGTCACTCCCCACAGCAGAATGCACAAACCAATTCATAAGACATATGCTCTTCTAAGGGCAGGTCTTCACTACAGGGGCCGGTCGATTTAAGATACGCAAATTCAGCTATGTGACTAGCGTAGCTGAATTCGACGTATCGGAGCCGACTTACCCCGCTGTGAGGACGGCGGCAAAATCGACCTCCGTGGCTCCCCGTCGACGGCGCTTACTCCTACCTCTGCTGGTGGAGTAAGCGCGTCGATTCGGGGATCGATTGTCGCATGCCGACGAGATGCGATAATTCGATCCCTGAGAGATCGATTTCTACCCACCGATTCAGGCGGGTAGTGTAGACGTAGCCTAAGTTAGCATCAGAATTTACTGTCCCTAATTCACCTCTCAAACCAATGATTTATGAAATGACATCAATAGAAGAGTCAATATATTCTTAATTTGCCTTACCTGTTGTTCTAGAAGGCTTAATATGTCTGTGACATCATTATCTTCAAGGTTCTCCTGGGAGAATATTTCATAAAGTGGAGTTTCATCTGGATATTTTTCTCCATAGGTAAATTTAAGGGTTGCCTGGACAGCTACGGTACAAAAGGCAATCTTAGTGTGACAGCCTCAAACTTCATAAATATTAACTCGTAATATAAATATATTCTATTTATATTAGAATAACAATCCTGTTTTGTTTAACAATCCACAACAGGTTTTTAAATAAAAACAGTATTTTAAAAATGGAACTATCACCTTACATACATGCTGTAATTACAACAGTTGGTTTGAATATAATATACGAATCTCTACTCATCGTTACCCATTACACATGAGATAATTCTTAGCACTTACTAGCTGTTTACATGTGCAATTCACATTAGAAATAGTAATTAGTCTACGTAATACTCCTCTGAGGTACTGCAGATCAGCAAGCAATATTCCCTTTTAAAGAATAAAGTAAGGCAGAGATGTTGGCGTCACTAGGTGTAACTCAGGGGGGTGGGAGGCCATAAGCGCCGATGAAACCCTCCTCCTCTGGGTCTAAGTGAGCCACAGTAACTCCATCTTGTGAACTTTAACCAACCTCCATGCTAACAGCCTAAATGCTGAAGCAGAATATGTAACGGTCAGCTTTTTTTAGCAGACAGCTGCAGTTTCGCTCACACTAGCAGAAGCAGTAGTGATAACGAGGGGGAAAAGGGGAGGGAGAGGCCTACTATGTAGGGCTTGCAAGGCCAAAGATAAACATGCGGACAAGAATTTTTCTAACACGCCACAATGTAATGCCTCCTGTAACTGCTGTCGGGAAGGGAGGGGTAGGGAGAGAACAGAACAAAGCTTGGAATATAAAATGGGAAACTTGCTTGTATTTGCTGCACTTGATTTAAGACACGCTGGTCTCCTAGTGCCTATTCAGAGCTCTTGAACAAATTTGGTTTGCTTCTCCACCCTGGTGTGTCTACTGGTGCGACGCACACCGGGCAACGAACCCTGTTGCCCCCTAAGGCCCTCTGGGCTGGCAACAGAGAGATTAAGTGACTGGTCCAGGGCTATAAAGTGGGCCAGCAGCAAATCCAAGATTAGAATTCAGCAGTTCCTTGCTCCCAGTTCTGTGCCAATCTAGTACAACACGCCACCAAAAAGATTTCTTACTCCGAACCATTATATAGCCTATTTGTACCACAATATTTGGTTTGTAAATGCCCTAGTCAGCATTCGTACAGTGACCAGAGACTCTGTACTGGGCAGCTAGTTTGTGATATGAAGACATACTGAACTATTAGTGTGACTGACTGACAGAGCTTCCTGCAGATCGGAACTGCTATACACTTCAAATCTACACTTTACATAGACTGTCATGTTTACTGATTAAGGACCTGCTCTTACTGACTTCAACAGAAGCAGGATAACACCCAGCCAACAAACAACTACTAGTGACAGGTTTCAGAGCGGTAGTTGTGTTAGTCTGTATCAGCAAAAGAACGAGGAGTTCTTCTGGCACCTTAGGGCTTGTCTATACTTACCGCGCTGGTTCGGCGGCAGGCAATCGAACTTCTGGGTTCGATTTATCGCGTCTTGTCTGGACGCGATAAATCGAACTCAGAAGTGCTCCCCGTCGACTCCGGTAATCCTGCTCGCCGCGAGGAGTACGCGGAGTCGACGGGGGACCCTGCCTGCCGGGTGTGGACCGCGGTAAGTTCGAAGTAAGGTACGTCGACTTCAGCTACGTTATTCACGTAGCTGAAGTTGCGTACCTTACTTCGATTTGGGGGTTTAGTGTAGACCAAGCCTTAGAGACTAACAAATTTTGCCTCTGTATTTTCCACTCCATGCATCTGATGAAGTGGGTTTTAGCCCACGAAAGCTTATGCCCAAATAAATTCGTTAGTCTCTAAGGTGCCACAAGGACTCCTCATTGTTTTTACATTTCTAGTGGTAACAGTAAGCTATACTTTAAACATCACAAGGAATTGTTCTGATTAGGCAAGTCACAATCTACTGATCAGAACATATTAACAGTGGATTAAGAGTTCTTAAGTAAAGATCTAGGAAAACATAATTGTAAACTATTCTGAAACACCAACTACCGTTGTAGCCCTACCCGATATTCAGAGCCCATTTACAAGAGGACAACCAGATTTCCCACAGCAGGTTATTTCACATTATATCTATTAGAGATAATCCGAAGGACACAGTTTTTGGGGATAATATTTTAAAACAACCAGACCTTATAATTTCAAAAGTTATAAAGAAAAGTTTTCCCCATCACCAACTTACTTTCATCATTTTCTCCTGCTTCCGATGTCACTGTGATAGTGAAACTTGTTGGGTTTTCTGATAATACTGTTAAAAAAAAGTAAAGAAACAGTAAATAAATGAGAGATTTTTAAAGTCAGACACCTTTTCTTCACTAGCATATTGGTGCTACCTTGTTCCTATTATTTCATTAAACTGGAACATCTTTAGGTCTCTAAGAAGCCTCCAATACATTAATTTTTTTTCTCAAGATTAAGAATTTTCTCTTCTTGATGATGAAATGTCTGCTTTGTTCTTCTGCTATTACAGAGTGTACATGTAGTACTAATCTCACACAAAATATTTGTCCACCAAAAGGATATAGATACAGTGCTAATCTAATTTTGATTAAGTTTTTCTCTGTGAGGATATAGGAGAACAAATCATTAGAGTAAAAGAAGGTTAATATGTCTGTTTATGAATTAATTATATGCATACTGAATACCAGGTGCTTTCTGGGTCTGAATGCATTCACTACCTATTCATTACCAGTCTCACTGATGAGCAGAAGAACCGCAAAGGGTGCATTTCTATCTTTATTACAGGAAGAATATGTATCAACTCTACAGAATAGAAATCAGCTCCTGTTGATATTTTTAAAAAGCCACCAGAAAAGTCCAAAGTACTTTTCAGAGCAAACAGAAATGCTTGGATCCTGCCTCAAAGAATCAGCAATTTAACTTTGGAAGTGATATGACAGGTGAAGGAAATTCACTGCTGACATGAATAATTTAGAGATAAAATTTAAATTAACCAAAGACCACAAAACAAAGTTCTAACCACCAGTTACACACTTTATGACAGTGGTTCTCAAACTGGGGGTTGGGACCCCCTCAATGGGTTATGAGGATATTACGTGGGGGGTCGTGAGCTGTCAGCCTCCACCCCAAACCCCGCTTCACCTCCAGCATTTATAATAGTGTTAAATATAAAAAAGTGTTTTTAATTTATAAGGGGGGAGCCCATACTCAGAGGCGTGCTGTGTGAAAGGGGTCACCAGTACAAAAGTTTGAGAACCACTGTTTTATGAGGACTATGTAGGGAGCTCCTAGAAGAGCGGCACCACATGGTGGGGTCTCTGACAACTGTGCATAATCTGGGAAGAAGGATGGGCACATGAGACCCACAATTTCGCAGATTAGTGGCTCCAGTTCATTGTACAATTTTTTCAGAGAGGCTGTAGCACATTGCCTGGAGTAATGGCCACGGGGGACTCTATTACAGCCCATGTTCTGGATCTTCACTGGGAAGATAGAGTGAATTTCACCTGATTATTCAGGAGTGTAAGCAAGTGAAAAAAAATTCACCAAGAAGTCTTAAAATCTGACCTAAACCCTGTTGTTGCTGTTGCTGCAAACTGCAATACACTTTTTTTCTGGGCTTGAGTAAATCCTAGCAGTGAGAGTTGGCTCAGCTCAAATGGCATTTTGCAGCTTTAATCTATGACTTCATTGTGTTAAATGATTCTGCATCTTGAATCACTGGTAATAAATTCATATACCTTTGGCTTAACAAGCTAAAATAATTTCAACACAGGTTTTAAAAGGCTGAAATAAGCAGCAAAACAATTAAATAAGAATCTGAAAAAGAAAGAACCCCAGCACTTGCACATTTAATTAAGTATAGAATAAGAAGAGTTCAGTTTTACTGCCACTTCCTTTACCCCACAGGTCTTTACAAAGCAATAAGCAAAACTGAATTATTTTGGGGAAGCTCTGTGTCTTGTGTTTTACAGGGGGGCAGATTAGATGATCACAACGCTCCATTCTGGCCTGTGAAACTATGAAAAAAGCCAGGTAATGGTAATGCAACAAGTAGGGAGGCAAAGTGAGCATCTGCTACCTGGTCAGCAATGTCACATGCCTGGCGAGGATCAGAAACGAGAAAGGAAAGCTGAGCAGGGCATCAAGTGAACTCATTTTTGTCTTTAATTTCCACCCAAGTGTCCACAAGAGCCCTGCTTGTAAAGGCTCGCCCAAAGGTGCTCGCCCTAGATCTTCGCCCACATCCTGCTGGAGCAGGGTGAGCTAGGAGTGCTGTGGCCTAGCAGCAACAAGGGGTGTTACAGAAACCAGATTGACACAGGACGCGAAAAGCAACTCAAGGTCAGGAACCTACGGAGGGGCTGGGAGCAGTCCCGGGCTAGTGAGAACTAACCCAGCGCAAGCCAGTTGCTCTGCTCAGCGGGGCAGGTGGCAGAGGAGCCAGCCCGGGCCTACTGCTCCCTACCCCGGGGGAAGCCTAGGGTAACTCCAGAGGACTCCTGCGAGGCTTGTGCCGTGTAACCGGCGTATTTAAAGAGGACCAGGGCCCCCCGCACCCGTTGGACCCTGTTTGCACCGGCCCGGGTGGGAGAGGGGGGAGCCGCTGCTAGGTGCGTGGCTGCTGCCCCCTACGCTGCGACTCAAAGCGCGGCTCCCTACCCGGGCACGCAGCCGGGAGGCGCTCGGGGAGCTGCGCGCTGTGCAGACAGGGGGCCCCAGGTCCACCCCGACCCCGCTGCAGGGAAGCTTGCGCCAGCCGCCACCTCGCCGGGACGGGTTCCCCCCCGCGCGGCGCCGCGGCTGACCCGTGAACGAGTCCGGGTAGATGGACTCCAGCGCCTCCCGCTCGTTGCGCTGCTCCTCGCTGTAATCGGTCATGGTCCCGCGCCGCCGGCCATGGAACGCTCCGCCACGGCCCAGCCACCCGGGCGGCCCGCGCAGGCGCACTCTGCTCCGCGCGGCGGCGGCGGCGGCTGCCGGGGCGGCTCCCCAGGCAAGGGGGAGGAGTTGAAGCCGTGACATAGTCACAGCTCTGTTCTCGACCGGGCAGGTCTGAGCTGCCCTAGGCAGGCAGCCGCTCCCCTCCATCCTTTGCGGTTTGTCTACACGTGGAGTGACTCCGGATTAGCTATAACAGGTGCCCCGCGTGGACGCTCGCTCCGGTTAATCTTAATCCATTTTTAAATGGGAAGCTACTCGGGAAGAGCTATTGCTGATTCACTCCGTGCGTGCACATAATGACGAATAAGAGTGTTTTACCTTGAAGGACTTTAAACCAGTGTCAACTAGCGAGGCTAGTCATCCTTTTTGGAGCTGGGCGTCAGTCCTCTTTTGGGGTGCTTTGTCCCCCCGACCTGGACAAAATCTGACATGCTTTGTCCAACGCCAGACAAAACTTGGACAAAATCTGAGATAGTTTTGTCTGGCACTGGACAGTGTGACTTCCGGTGTGACTTCAGAAACACCATGCAGGCAAAATCACGTCAGTGGGGTCCGGGGGTGATGTGCCCTTAAAGAGGGCCACACACCCGGTGTGTGTGCAAGCTCAGCCAGCAGGGGCGGCCCCAGGCCTTTTCTGGAAGTATCAGATCATGCGTTATGCAGGGAATGTCGGAGTGGCCACCCTACCCATAAACTAATTCAGAATATGGCATTTTTGTTCTGGAATAAAAGTAGCTGGCAAGGAGTTAATCCAGAGTAGTAGCCTGCCTAAAACTCACACCCTACCTTAATCCAGATTAATCTTCATTCTTGACTAATTTTGGTTGTTTCTCTATCATTGACAGCCCCCTCCCGTTCTGTTCTACCTTTCCCTGTCCCGCCCTGCGGACGCAACCAGCTTTCCTTTTGGTGGGATCGCTCCCCAGTGGATGTGTTAGGTCTGAGGCTGTCACGTGTCGGGGGAGGACTGCAGGCTACGCCGTGGGTCACGTGATGCAGGAGTGTCCTCATTTCCGCTTCTGCCGTCAGGGTCGCCTGGCCGCGGAGGGCGGGGGAACGGGAGTGACTCAGTGTGGCAATGCGCGGGGGGGGACGAGCCTTGGCCTCCAGCCGGTGCTTGCCAAGATCTGCAGCAGGGGCAGGATCAGGGCTTTGCAGGGGCGTCACCGTCAGTGCTGCAACATTAAGATATTCTGGCTCCTAATCTCTACTATTGCAGAGGCCAAGCTGGGGAATGGGCCCGGCGCTGCAGTGTCACTGGCCTGCTCAGAAGGAGGCAGTTACTCTGTTAGCACAGAGGGTGTCATGAGGGGAGCTGGCAGAGGCAAGGAATCTCTTTTGCAGAATTCCACGCTGGATGGCTGAATTTTCAATAAAAAATCTTCATTCCCCCCATACTGTAATGAAGTCTCACCGACCCACTTACTTAGATCATCTTTAAGCTCTTTGCCTCAGGTTAACCACCTGTTCAATTGACATAATACTTGACTTCAATACCCATAATCAAGGGACACCATTAATTTAAATAAAAGCAGTTGCAGGTACTAGAACTTCCCGACGCATTCTGCCAATGGTTTTGGTTTTGCAATCACATATTCCAGTTTTGAATAAATAATCTCTCCTCTATTACTGCATAGCACACCACCCCTCCCCATCCCCACAAAAACGGACACAACTGCAGAGAGAAATCAATGAAAAGGACTAGATACAAATTACTGTCAAGTGCATGAAGTAAATACACTGAAAAAGATTTTCCCACTAATCTTTGGTTTTAAGGGATCTGGTGTAAATATAGTAGCTATTCTTTTTCCAGAAAGAAGTGAGATTACCTTAAATTTAGTGCCCCTTCAATGTTTATGAGGAGCTTTGTGAGACTTAGCTAGGAGGAAATAACATTGCAAAGTCTTATTAGTGGACTATTTCATCCCTTCTGTTTTTAATCAGAGTTGCAATTTTTTAGTGGGGAATTATGCTTAAAAATAGTTGACAGTTGCCACAGTATAACCCATGATTTGCATTACTTGGTGTATATTTTTTACTACTACTTACTATTCACTGATTTCTGATTGTTACACAGATGTGTGTGTTCTGTTTCTTGATGCAGATGTATGAATACAATATACAGTTTTAAGCCCACATCCTGAACACAGTTACTCTACACATTCATAACTTTAAGCATGTGTGTAGCCCAATTGAATGAATGTGCTTAAAGTTTAGCACGTGTATGTTTTTGAGACTTTAGTACAGGCTGAAGAATTTGGAACCATTTTGAAAGCACAGACCACCAAATGTAGTAATACAACACAGCACCCTGTTTAGCAGAATGCTGAGCAACTGAGAGATTTGATACTTTGGATGGTGATTGAAGCTATTGTTATATTGCCATAATAACTACAAGATGGTGATGGAAAACATTAGTAATTCACAAAATGTCAAGAAAATTTGTTGGTCATGAAAATGACTAATGTTATGAGTTTAAGAATTTGGCGACTCTTCAGCAAAGGGAGGGGAAATACTATTAAACTGGTTTAAATGCATTCTGCATTACTTAATTGGCAAAAGCAATGACAATTTATAGTCTTTTGGCTGTAGGGTTGCCAGGAATCCAGCTTTTTGACTGGAACACCTGGTCAAGAAAGGACCCTGGTGGCTCTGATCAGCACTGCTGACCAGGCTGCTAAAAAGTCCAGTCGGTGGCGCAGTGGCCCTGCCTGCCCTGGCTCCACGCGGCTCCCGGAAGCGGCTGGCATGTCCCTGCAGCCCCTAGGTGCAGGGACGATCAGGGAAGCTCCGTGCGCTGCCCGAACACCGGTTCCGCAGCTCCCAATTGCCGGGAGCCACAGCCAATGGGAACTGGGAAGGTTGTGGGGCGGCATGGCGCGAGCAGCATGCATCATGCAGAACCGCCTGGCCGCCCCTACGTTTAGGGGCCAGGCATGCTGGCCACTTCCGGGAGCAGCGTGGAGTTAGGGCTGGCAGGGAGCCTGCCTTAGCTCCGCTGCACCGCGGACTGGGAGCTGCCTGAGGTAAGCCCCACCCAGTTGGAGTCTGCTCCAGCCGCCTTCCTCTGTGTGGAGCCTTGAGCACACAGAGGGCGCTCTATATGCAATCCCGGTCAAGGGAAGGGTGAGGGGTTGGGGGCCAGGGAAGAAGTGGTATGTGGGTAAATGACCCCTGTCCACACCTGCAATACAGTATATAGAATGGTTTTAAGATAAATCAGTTTGCTGTAATTATGGCCATCACACTCTTCTCCATCTGTTTCACAAGCTCTAATTTTTCCAACAGCTGCTTTTAGGAGAGAGAAAAAACGGACAGTTTGAGCTCTAAAGTGAAACTGGTAAAGTATGAATTGATTTTGGATGAGGTGACTCAGCCTTCAGCAGACATAGTTATTCTGCTCCATGCCATCTTATTGATTTCTGATAGTCACAAGTTCTTTTGAAAGCTGTGCCTTACTCTGCACCAGTCTAAATATACTTAAGAAGAGAAAAAACATGCCACCTCAAACGAGATAATTGCATTTTTGTTAGCAACAGTACCACTCTCTCAGGAATACAGTTCTCTGTAAACTTTGGCAAATGGACTTCAGAGGCTAAGTAGTATTTGTAATGACTATTATATAAACAAATATATTATATTTGATATTATAAACAAATTTCAAATCCCAAAATATCAACCGTCTTTAAAAAGCAATCACTAATTTCAAATATTTGACTTCTATTTTTGGAGGGGAAACTGCTTGTGGGAGACACTGTTATGTTAATTTAGGGTTTGTAAACATAAGAGTTTATAAAACATAAAATCAAGTAGAGATATCTCCATGAATTTAAAAAAAAAAAAGCTTTCACACCCAAGTACAGCTTATTCTTAACCCTAAACATTGCATCATTTTGCTACTATGCCGCATGAGAGACATAAAAGTTAAACTGACTAGCTTGGTTTTTATTGTCCAAACACAGAAAATGGAAAAAATAAAAAATATATAGAGTATTGGTGGAATTTTTAAAAGGAGCATAAGAAAGTTAGGTACACAACTCCTATTGAAAATCCTAGCCTACACATTTAAAGTGTTCAATTTTAATACTTCATGGTGTTATCTGTATAACTGCAGTAAGGACATTTGTTTAAAAAAATGTTTTTAACATGACAGTCTCTCCCCTAAAGTGAAGTCAAATCAACTTTCCCTAGAACAGTTAAGGTACCAGACTAATAATGTGGAGCAGTTGTGTTTATTTTTAAATTTGCCGAATTAGTCATGTAAGTCACAGATACATTTACATTACAGCTAATTAATTCTTGTAAAAGCCAGAAGAAGTTTCTCACACAGAACTATCAAGTGGTAACATACTGCATCTCACCCATTGATTACGTCTTATATGCAAATCTTTGAGTCTCCAAAATCCCTGCTTTTGTTTGTTTACAGATTTTAAAAAAACATACACAGTCATGCTCACTTAGATCAGTATTTTAGCACAATCCCTACTCCTGGCTCCTGTATACGGAGCAGAATATGGCTAAACAGTAATCTTCTATATATAATGACTGTTTATCAAGACACAGTCCAAGTGTTTTGGCCAGAGCCACAATGACTCAGTGGTACAGATGCAAATAGAATTCAGCTCTCCTGACTCCCAACCCAGTGTGTTATCCACTATTCCACACTGCCTCTTTACATTACAGGCCCTTGGCAGGAAGAATAGCCCCTGATACTGCAAATACTTACACACATGTTAACTTTAAGTATGTGGCCTCAGTTGGAACACTCATATACTTAAATGTGTTTAAGTCTTGGGGCTATAGATTGTATACTTAGAGAAACAGTGTAGGAAACAACCTATGACACATGCAGGAAGCTGCTCTTATTATAACTGTAGTTTCAGAGGCCACAATCAGGATAAAAACAGCAACTATACAAATGTATGAAGATATGAGTTCTGCCCATAGAGTTTACTACACAAGCCCCTGTGCTTGCAATGCATTGTGCATGGACAGATCTCTGCATAACTCGTGGTAAGGTAAGGGCCTAAAAG